TAGGGTTTCAGAGTTTAGGGTTGGTTTCCCAAAATTTGAGTACTTTTTTGGGGGCCCTCATGACAAGGATTGGAGTATATTAGGGTCTATGTTGGGGTCCACCTACTCTGGGAAACTACCATATAACCCTAGTTTCCATTTAATTTTCCATGTTCTTTTCCATTTGATTCTCCATTATTCGGGATCTATAAACTCTAAACGGCCCTAAGCCCTAAATAGTATTTTCCATTTCCTTTTCCACTATCCCAATAAACCCTAAACCCTAAATATTAAATAGTAGTACAGTTTGCAGGCCTGCAAGACTCCCTGTGCTGCTTTGTTTGGCGAGGCCACGCTAGAATTCGGAGTGCGGCTGCTTAGGCGCGTGCTGTTGTGGTGCCCATGGGAAGCACATTAGGGTTTTAGGGGTTCAGGGTTTAAGGGCTCAGGGTTAAGGGTTTAGGGTTTGAGTTCCTTGCAGTTGATGTGGAAGAAGCACTTCCCGCTGCGCAGGCCCCGGAATGCGGTCTTGGGACACTATTTGCATACCTGCAGAGTCACTGTGGCTGACGACGACACGTTTCCCACAAACAGGCGAGGTGAGTCAGGGGTGGGGGGGTGGTCAAGATCATGGCCCCTTTTCGGGTGCCTTATTCTTTAGGGGCAAAAGCCCAACCAAGGACCCCCATAGGGATCCTAATTTTGACAAAAAATATCATTTTAATACGTACAAGCACTCCATACAATCCCACTTTCCATTTCATTTTCCATTTCTTTTCCATTGATTATCCATTCTTGGGGGTAATATGCCTAAACCCTACACGTAATACCCCAATCCCTAAACCCTGTATAACCTCTACATAACCTTCGAAATTGGGTCGCAGCGCCAAAAAAGGCAACCAGGCTAGCTCTTCGCTGCAAATTGGTTTTCCAAACCTCTAGGAGTTTAGGGTTCAGGCATTAGGGATTAGGGTTATGGTTTAGGGATCTAGAAAATAGAGCCCACAAGGGTTCCTCAGGGCATTTTTTTGGGTGTTCTACTTTCCAGAGCCTCCCAGGCGTCTAGCTTTCTAAACCCCAAAAACGCTAACCGCTAAACCCTAGAAACCTAAGCCGCAAACACTACAACCAAAAAATCTCAACCCCAAACCCTGAACCATTAGCCCTAGGCCCAAAGCCCTATATTAAGATATTAAGCCATACCGTAGGAATGGCGACAAGCTGCGAGAGGGGAGAGCTGCTGAAATCCAGCCTGTGGCTCCTGGCCTGAGACATTTGGTAGTTTCCTCAAATTGTGGGACCCCAATAGAAATCCCAAAATACTATAGTCCTTATTATGGGGACCCCCCAAAAAGGTACCCCTAATTTTAGGAAACCCACATTTTTAGGGTTGAGGGTTTGGGGTGTTGGGTTTATGCTTGAAGGTTTGGGGTTTGGGGTTTCAGGTTTAGGGTGTAGGCGTTTGAGGCGGTAATGGCAATTGTCAAGGGCCTTACTTGTAAATAGGGTTCCTGTGCCTTTATCCAGCAGAAGCAACACGCCTGAAATCGGATCTCGTTTGCGGACGGTTGATCCTGACCTGCGAAATGACTGAATTGAAAAGACATGAAAAGACGTGGATTCGCCGTTGTCAGCTAACCCAGGCTGAATGCCAGTCGCCTGTTTGTAGTTGGACTCTCGGACTCCTGCGACTGCTTGGCTGTGTGATTCTTGATTGCTAGGGTGTGAGTAGCTCCACTGCTTCAGCGTGCGGTGCTGCTGATCTCCCAACCTTCGGGCATGTCCCAGCAAGGTATTTGCTGGTGCATGTCCCATGTCTGGGTGCGGGTGGTCACGAACCACTTCCTGAGATTATTCAGGTTGAGAATCGGGGCTTGTATCGACGGACGTTTGTCCCGGGTTTTTGAAAGTACAGGTCTTGATGTTTGGTTCGTTGCTATCGGTCGTTGGTCTTGTAGTTTTTGCATGAGCATGTCAGTGATGTGATGTTTCTGGTGAGGACAGGAGGGTGGGCTGCTGGAAGGTCCATCGAGCTTATTGAGTTTGAGTTGTGACGCACGCAGCTAAACCAAGCACCCGTTACTCTACTCTAACATATGAGTTGTAGGGATTAAGTACGAGCAAAAGGGAACATCTTACCCCAAGGCTTCCAGGGATCGTATGGATTACATATGGACATGATGGGAGGGGGCGTTACCCAAATGATGGCAAATCAAATGTAAAAGAACATGGAATATGAAATGGAAATTCTCCACTGACCACGAGTTTGTCCCTAGACCCTAAAACCAGGGGTGGGGGAGGGGGCTGATTTGGACAACTTGTGCCTCCACGTCACCTTTTCGCAATCCAGTTCCATTGAGTCTGTGGAGTATCGTGGTCTTTGCAAGACAGACACCGCATATCATCTTCTTGAAGTTCGTGTCATTCAGTAAAACAGTAAACCCTAAACCCTAAATTGCTGTGGGTTGGTGAGGATCTTGAAGCCTTTGGTTGAATTCATGGCTTTCGCATGCTTTCAACCAAGCTCCCAAGTATAGATCCTGATTCTGATTCTTCCGTCTGAGTACCGTTAAGCCCCTATCTAAACCCAGATGCTATGACGTTTCCCTAGCTAAACCCAGTTTCTACTTGGTTTCCACTTGTTTTTCCATTTGATTCTCCTTCATTAGGAATAATATCCCAAAACCCTGAACACTAGTCGGTCACTAAACCCTATATAACCCTTTGAAAGGGACCATACATCTACCCTTGTTACATACATGTAGATATACATTGGAGTGTTTTCTCTCCTACAGCTTTTGGTTTAGGGTTCAGGGATTGGAGGTGCCCGCGATTATAGAGGTTTCAATGTTTTGTACGGAATGGCTTATTCGTGGTAAAAAAAAGGTGCAAGGATAGCCACGGAAGCTAAGATGCGTGTCCAATCAGGAGGCAAAGTCACGCAAGTCATCATGCAGAACAGTTCTGGTACCGAAGCATTAAGAACAACTTGGGTAATGGGTGCACTTGTTGCATATGCAGCGCCCTGCAAACCTTGTTGGCTGTCCCAAGCCAAGGTTCTTTGGACTGAATATCTCAAAATGAGCCTCAAGGCAGGTTTTGTGGATTCATTTTTCACGTCGCAGAAGCTCACGGTGGTGGACAGGCCCCTGATTTAAGTTTCTGTCAGGACCGCAAGGTGCGGAGGGCGGCTATTTACAACCTTCTCACAGATCAGGCCTGGGAGTACTTTGGGGGGGGTTTTAGCCATATATAACCCTTGTATAGTCATTCTATAACCCCTATATCCTTAGGTAGTCCCCATACTAACCCCCATAAGCTGCAAGGGTCCCTATTAGGGGTCCCTCCTAGGGTTTAGGGTTCGAGGAACTGGGACCTTCCAAAGCCGAAGGTTCTGACTAAGGCAGACTGGTAGGTTCATCACATCCCAGTCTGGGAGGTTCGGAACCTGGCCTATCTTTGGCAAGTCATGCGACTCACCTGCATGCTGCATGAGATGTCACCATGCTTCCTGTGCTGGGAAACAATCATTTTCCAGCACACATGGCCCAGGCTTACAAAGTATTTGATCGATCAAGTGCTGGCAGAAGAGCCGCTGCCTTTCTTCACAGATCCGATGATGCCCCAAGGACGAGAGGAGCGAGTAGCCTGGATACATAGTTGCTGCAGAAGAAGCGTGCCTACGGTTCAACGTTTTCAGAAAAGTGGTTGTGTTTTCGTTCAGGTTTGGCTCACGATGGCGTTCTCATTTCTACCACATGCTGTCGCTTTGTTGCATTAGCCTGTCTTGGAATGTACCTTGACTGTTGCTCGTGTGGTCAACGTGCACTCAGGTGATGCTGTTTCTGAACCGAATGAAAGCTGAGCGGCGTATTCAGGGCATGGCACCACGACGGCATAGGCTCTTGAAAGCAAGATCCTTTGGGATGCAACTCTGTGCAAGGTCGTCAATCAGCTACAAGGTGGCAGTCCATTCGTGTGCTCTGTCAATCCGCTATCAAGTCAGACATGTGTAGAGACAGACAGTTGAAGCACACGATTTCTGCAGGAAACTTGTTGAGGACCCGGTCATGAGTTCTACATGCCCTAGCATGGGAGTCCTACTCGTCTCAGCTGCGTTGTGATGTGCAGGAAGTTTCTGAACTACAACGAGGACTCTCGTGACTCTGTGTCCACAACTCATCTTGCTTTGCTTGGTTCCGTTTCGTGAATCGTCTTGGACTAATGCACACAGACAACCCTATGATTCAGCAGGGTTCGAAGGGCCGCCACTTTTGCATTGCTATCCACCTCAGGCTTCTAAATTTCGGAGGCTGCTCGCAAGACAAAGCAGGCTCAAGATTTGGAGAGGCAGTTTGTGTTCACATCCATGCACTTCTGTGCCTAGATGGAGTGTCACACTCATAAAGTCTGCACTAAAGTGAAGAGCTCCGAGGGTTCTCCGAGGGCACTCAATGGCTTGGCAGAGGGTTGCTCTGTTTCCACCTGAGGTCGACATCGGATTTGGCGATGGCCATAACACGCGATGTACCTGAGCTTGTGGAGCATGGCTTCATGGGTGTCAGTTGCTCAGATGGCTCTGTGAATCTGACCTGAGCTGAGCAAGCAAACCACGCTCTGAAACTCAGATCTTTGAGCTCGTTGAGAATCTTGGCTTGGTGATTGTTCTCGGCATTCTCATGCTGGCGTGGCCTGGCGGCACCAGCAGCAGCACAGCAGAAGCAGCTTCTGTCAAAGCTTGACTCTCGCTGGCCTTCCCGTCTCAGATTTGAGCATGAGGCAGAGCCAACTGTCTGTCCTCACACCCATCTGTTTTTTGATGATTCCTCTGGCAATGCTGATCCTTGGCAGAAAGCATGTGTCTCCATCAAGCTTCAGCCAGTGCGATGCTTGCTGCCGCTTTTGTTTGTGACCCCTGCATCTCCAAGGATATTCATTTATATTCGTCACCCGGAGACTGAACGTCTGCCCCTGAAGAACACGCATTCGCCTGCTCTTAGAGTATGCTTGTGAGGCCGAGATCGAATGGTCTTCCAAAGGCAAACCGAGATGTTGATCTTAGTTCATCAAGTGACGGATGCTTGGGCTGCATGCGAGCTGCACCCGTTGGCTACGGCCACGCCCAGTGCCAAGTTTTTTTTTGCTGAATAGGGCTTCCAAACCGTAGCTCTGTTGACCACAATTTTGGAAGCCCTAAACCCTCTATGTTCTTATATGGCCCCTTCATGCCCCTGCATATCCCTCAAATCCCCTTTAAAGGAACCCGCTCACATCCAGGCAGATTGCTCATTTAAAGCAGCAGCTGCAGACTGTGTAATGCTTCCTTATGCTTACTTGTTTGCTTTGCAGGATATATAGGGTCCCTTGAAAGGGGATAGAGGAATTTGTGTTGGGCTTTTATAGGGTTTTATAGGTTACAGGGGTAGGAAAATTGGAGTATCCGCTTCACAGGCGTGGCCTCGTCTAGTAGCCGGATTCCGGTATCCTGGTCTAAGCATGTGAACGAGCCAAGGACAACACTCGATTGATCACCGATTATTTTCAGCGACCCACAATGGTGGTCAGTTGCTGGGCCGGATAAACTTTTGCTTTTGTTGTCATGGGGCGCATCTTTGCAGTCTGCAGGCTTCAATGAAAGGGTTGCTGAATGCAACAAAGCCACCACCTTGGCGAACATGTTCAGGCCTGCATTTTTTTTTTCTCTTGCGTTTTGCTCTTCAACCCGCAACCTTGACAGAACTGATGCTAATGTGATCCGATCTGACTTGCAGCTTGAATTTGTCAGGGTGACAAACTCCGAATTCGCGCCGTTCATGACTACTGTTGTGATAGCAATCTATGCTCCTTGGCATGCAGATCCTTTTGCTTACGCTGACGTGCAACTGTTGAAAAGATGCAAGTTGCAAACGTCTGCTGATTTAGGTCCTGTTCCACTATGCATCTGTCGTGGATAAAACGATCACCATTGGTGGCTGGGCGTTTATGGAGAATTTACAATGCAGTGCAACCCGAGTGCTTAGGCAGGTAAGTAGACTTACCCTAAACCCTAAACCTTGACCTCGAGTGTTCAAGGCGCCGACAGAGTTCTAGAACTGACTGTGGCTTGAATGGGCTCCAGGCCTAAAACCAGCAAACTGGTTCTCAGTAGGACATGAGGGCAAGTGATACAGTATGTATAGGGTTTAGGGTTTAGGTTTTAGGATTTAGGGTATCTATTGGGGATATATGGAGATTATACTTATTGTGTTTTGGTAGGGAATATGGGCAGATATTATATAGGGTCATAGGAGTTACATTCCGTTATTCCTTAGAACTACTAAGCACAGGGGATAAGGCAGCCCCCTCATGATGCCTGCAAGCTCCCTTGATCCAAGGAGAGTTTCTCACCTCCATCGCTGTGTGGCGAAGCATTGGTGGTGCGTATCAGAATGCTTATAAGGCCTGTGATACCTTACTGGGGGTTAGTAGGGAATAGGGGAATATGGGGTTATGTAGGGATTATATGATTATATTCCCTTTTTCCCTACTAAGCACCGGTAAGGTGAGAGTTTTGATTCGGTTCTGGCAGAAGCCGATGCGTTCTTGACAGTCAGGACATGTTGCAAATTCAGCAGGCCCGCGCTCTGAACTAGGCATGTGTGCTTCAGCAAGCCTGTAGCAGCTAGCCAACTTTCAGGCAGCCGCGTCACTGCTGAATGTCATACACTACATGCCTCCCGCATACATTTGGCTTTGATTTAAAGATGTGAAAGAAGAGGAACATTTGATGTGGAGACATTGGATCTTGCATCTTCAGGAACCTGCCAGTCGATACGCTAGAGCGGATGCAGATCACCAGGGACATGCTGGATTGCGGCAAAACTGCCCAAATGCAGGCAGGCACTATGCACGTGAAGGAGTCTCAGTTTTGGCACACGACAAAGTACCCGATGTTTTGTTTTCTCCACGATTACATGACATGGTATGCAGGGCACAAGCAGAGCTGGACCATAGACATAGAATGTCAACCGTCCAACAAACCCTAAACATTGATATCTGTGAATCTTATACAAACAAGGCCGAAACCCAGAATCCTGAGCATCAAGCCCCAAACCCTAAGCCCTAAATCCTTGCATATGTGAAGCCTGGAAGGCACATCATCAAGTGTTTAGCGGCTTGCCTCGCATCAGTGGTTCCATAGGAGTCCCCTCTTTGAAGGAGGTTGAAGGATTATGGGAGTTATATAGGGGTATGGAAGGGTTATATCGGGCTCTAAGGATGTGGTCCCTCAATAATGGAGAATCAATTGGAAAATCAACTGGAAATCAGAATGAAACTACGCTATAGAGGGGATGTATAGAATGATGGAAAATCAAATGGAACATGTCATCCAAACTACTGGATGTAGGATCTTATAGGGAGTCCTATAGTCTGGTCAGTGCGGTCTGCACAAATCACGTTGCTCGGTTTTGTCCGCGACTTTTTTTCAAGGCAAGCAGCCGGCAAACTCGCCTTATGTTGATCCCAGCGAAACGGTCTCCCTCAACGGAGAGAAGGTCCACGTTTTGCCCATGGGTACACTTTATCTTGTCTAGGGTTTAGGACTTAGGGTTTAAGGTTTAGGGTGTGCGGTGTAAGGGTTTAGGTGTTAGGCATGTGCGAGGTACCAGCCAAGTACCCTCAAGACCTTGTGCAGCTTCTCGCCATGCATCCAGCAGCTGCGAGGTTGCTTGCATAATAGAACCTCAATATACTGTAGTAGTTTGCATTTTATTTCCATTCTCCCAATATAACCCCAACATACTATATAGTAGTTTCCATTTCCTTTTCCATTATCCCCATTAATCCCCCCAATAATCATTCTGAGCTAACCAAAGGCCGTGCTGTCCCCAAGGATCCATGCGGACCAAATCTGCTTCGCCTATCCTGCACGAACTGGAGGCACGTATGTGCCCATCGGGGTAATATTGAGGGTATATATGGATGATAGACAAATGGAAACTACAATAATTATATATATATATAGTATATTAGGGTAATCTAGGATAATGGAAAAGAACAGCGAAACTACTATTTGGCGTAGAGGGTTATATAGGGGTTATATTGCCGTTTCAGTGCAGTTGCAACCGGGCTGCTCCAATACTTCCTGGCTAAAAATGGCATAGGCGAGCTGGATCCGTTTGAGTGACATTTCTGTTCGGGTTGGCAGGCGGCATCGACCTCCTGAAGAATGCCAGCTTCAGCATTCCACAAGGCTTCGGATGATTAAAAAAAAGGCGTAAGCTTAGATGACTTGCTGCTCTAATATTACCCCTACATATTATAGTAGTTTCCATTTTATTTTCCATTATCCCAGTATAACCCCAATATATTGTAGTAGTTTCCATTTCCTT